GAATGTAACCCCCATGGGTTGAGATAAGAACAGTCCAGTAACTAACACAAAACCACTACTGATACCACCAATAGCAATAATGATAAGGGAAATAACAAGGGGAGAAGATACAACTGCTCACCACCCGCCAACCGATATCGAGCCCGACTGAGCAGTGATCTCACCCTGCCTGGTAACTCCCCCAGTTTATATAGTGGGCATGATGTGCTGTGGTATGGAATACCTCTTTGGCTAGTTTGGTCAGGTGTCCTGTCCCTCCTTCCTCCTGGCTTCCCATCCTCCCTGGCAGAGCATGAGACTCAGAAGGTCCTTGGTCAGAGTAAACATTACTGATCACCAACTAAAAACATCAGTGTTATCAGCGTTGTTCCCAGACTGAAAGTCAAAACCACAGCACTGCACCAGCTACTAAGAAAGAGAAAAATGACTGCTACTGCTGAACCCAGGACAATTAGTTTAGATTTCATCTCCAGATATGACTTTGTCTTCTTCAATCGCTTTGCTTATCACCTACATTGTGTGCAAACCATTGTGCTGTAAGCTTGTGTACATTGTACAGGGTAGCTTTTTTTGTCATTGGGTAAACTCAATGTGGGGTTAGGTGAAGCCTTTTTGTGGGTTTGGTTTTTTTTAAAGAGTTCTGTTTCACATACACCAAGTAACATAAGAACCTCCATTAGCAGTAGCTTAACAAGCTTTTTCTAACTAAAATACTAAAACCTCTCTCCCCTTTGAGAGTATGTAAAGAAACTATTCATACCTGGCTTTCTGAAAAACTTGCTTTAGGTTTCATATGACCAAAGTGTGCATCTGTTGAAACTTTCTAGATGCAGCAGGAAATATATATGTCAGAGCAGAAAGGCAGACATCCCTGTGCTTCTCATGTCAAGTTTTTAACAAAAGCCAGATTGGCCCCTAAAGTCTGTTTCAAAGGAGGTGCACCAGCTTCCAGTTGTGTTTACATACCTGCTTCAGAGGAACACAGGGCTATATATACCAAAAAAACCCTCTACCTTGAGACTACTGAGGGAAGGTAAGGTACTATCCTGTCCTGATGGAATAGCTCAAGAATGCCGGCTGTGCCACTGTGCAAATCCCTGGCAGGCATTTCATACACTCTGGCAGCACCCAGGTTCAGCTGTGGAGACCTCACCTCTGACTAGGTGACCAGTGCCACCAGTGACAGCAGGATAACCAAAGGGCTCACTGCAATGCAAGAGAGGTTCCAGCATTACCTCTTACCTCTCTGTTCTTGGCCTCTGCGCTTCCAGTTATCTAATCCCGTTGTCAACACTCAGATATCTCACTTTTATGCTATGCTTTGCCACCACTAAAAAATTTGACATGATCAAGAATACATGCTGGTGCCACAGCTTATTTAGAAATAAGCATCTGGTTTCAATATCTCTCTTGCTAACATTGAAAGTGCATTTTTTTTCAGTACAGTAGCTCAAGCTGCCTGAATGCGATCATTTTAATGCATTGCTTCTGCCTGAAGAACATTGCTACTGTCCACTGATTTGTTACCTATGCAGTGTGGAGTGTGCATTCTTTGCTTGATGAGATTTTAATGTAGCTATGACTCTTATTAGTGCCCAAAGGTTAGATTTGCCATGTTTCTTTTTGATTAGTTTTTCCTGTCTGTGGCATGTATATACCTTTCTCAATAAAAGCAAAACTTTCAATCTAATTCTTTTTTACAGCACTAATGTTTTCCCTTCCTGTTTTAGCTTTTAGTTATACCCTGGTTACAGAAACTTGGTTACCCTTTACACTTCTCCAAAACTTCAGTTAATTCCTCCTCTGTTTCCACGGACCAAACCAGTTATGTCACACACGTAAATTAGCTTGTATCAGACAGCACTGGAAACATTTGTAGTTCTTGGAAATTAAGCTTTCCCTATTACTAACGTTCACAAGCACACATATATTTCTTTTAAACCTGACCTTACTAATGAGAGAGTAACTAAGAATGAGCCTTTAATAGTCCAGCTGGTGTTTAGGTAAAGAATGGGTTCAAATAATATTTCTGAACTCCTAAGGGCATTATTTTAACAATCTGCTCCAGAACTAAATAAGAAGGTGACAGTCCAACTTAATCAAACACTAGTGACAGTAAAAAATAAAAAAATGTCAGTGTGTTCCAAACATGTATTTTTAGAAATGAAAATGCAAGCGATCCAGGGAACTCACATTCAACCTTTAAGTTTTCAAGGAACTGGAGTTCATTAAAAAAGAGGTATTTGTGCATATACAGAAGAACTCTGGAGGAGAGAATTTGGTGCCTACTTCTCATTTGATCTAGCAGTTATTTTGAAGGAAGAACTCTGGAGGAGAGAATTTGGTGCCTACTTCTCATTTGATCTAGCAGTTATTTTGAAGGGCTTCCAAATATTTTAGTTCTCTAATTACATTAATTATGAGCATAGATAGACCTCAATATTAGGTAATACATATGAGATAGAGAACACAGTAAAGTTTATTCGAAAACCTGGCTGCTGGTCACAGATGTAGAGAAATATTTAAAAATCTGTGCCATATTGTCTCTAAAACATCCCTAAGAGAAGCCCACTTGCTTTAATAGCTTCCAGATGTAATTTTAGGAATAAAGTATACATGGAAGACATATATCTAACTTACAGCTGGAATATTTTCTTCTTCATGTTGTGGTGCTACAGAGTGATGCAATGCTATAAAAGGCCATGTATATTGAATTCCATAAGCTACTTGCAGAAAATGAGAGAACTATGAAAATAATGTTTACAAGGAAAAGAATGAGCTTTTTGAAACAATGTACTAGGATTCTTACTATTTCACAGAGAGCTAGAAAAAAGTGTTAATACAATGAGATACTTAATCTTAAATAGAAGATATAATTTTGGACAGCATATGCAGGTAAAATAGTGTTCTTTAATAAACGCAGCACTGACATTGGTAAGAGTTTTCTGTTTGAAGAATTGCTAGCTAGAGGACCTGTTACCCAAAAGCTTAATAAAGCCTTTTTTCTTATGCCAAGTGACCAATGCATGGGTTTCAGAGAAGAAGCACTCATCCTTTCTCTCTCAGAAGTTTGACATGGGCTTAACATATTTCATAATAATAAAGAAAAAAGAATACATTTTTACGTATTTGTTATGAATACTGAATTCACAGCATGTAAGATCTCTTTACATCAGCAAAGTCCTCACCACTACTTTTGTCTGAAAAGTTTTATCCACTTTATTGCCAATTTACCCTTTTAATAGCACTTAGGCAATAACAAAAAAGTTTCTGTATTGTCCTTTATGGCAAAAAAAAAAAAAGTAAAAGACATACTGCAAGAATGACTATTCTAAAAGCTGTTGCTAAAACAACAGTTTAGGATTAGGGATATTTTATTGTACTTTTTATGGAGAAAACAAGAATACCAGGACAGTGCTTATACAGTTTAAGCAGTGTACTTATGCCTCAAATTGCATTCCTCTAGGGAATCTATCTGTATCTATATTTTGTATTTGCTCTGGTCCATCTCCATAGCAACATGTTTGTTCCTATGGAGAATCTGGATGAGTAATTTCAAATTAAGCCTGAAATTTTTAAAACAAGATTTCTGTTCTCTATAAAATAATTATGGACAAAAGCAGTTTTAAAAACCCTCAGAAAATAAACATAATTTTGTCCTTGTTTCTTTTACCATACCCTAGACATAGTCAGCTATGAACAAGCTTTTGATCTCTCTTTCCCGTGATGTTCAGACTGGGAGCAGGCTTACCCACATGATTTCAGCATCTGTTATAAAATCTGGTGGGAAATTTTTCATTCCAATTTGAATGGCTCACTGTATTCACAAATTATGTTGTTATATACGCACATTCCAAGTTTTCCCTCAGATCCTGGGATCTTTGCTTTAAAAAACACCAACAAACAAAAATCCAATCATGAGAGTGGTGAAAAGACCAGGGCAAGGTGACTTTAAGATGACTTTCAAAATAACATGGGTCATTTTAGAAGTGGTCTTTAAATTACAAACAGTAAAACTTCCTGATTGTATCTGTAGTTGTTCTGTCTTTGATCTCAGAGAGAGATTCTATGGCTGAGAACTCTTTATGGCTACAGGATAACAGTGTTAAAAAATAGGTTTTTTAAAAAGATTATTGATCTTTATCATTGATGCTAATTAAACAATTGTTTCTTCATGCTTTAAAATGTATGCACCAAGAGAAATCTAAAAAAAATAAAAATAAAAAGAGAGAAGATATTTCCATCAGAACCTACAGGAAAAGAAAATAAAGAGAAAATTATCTCTAATTATATAGTATGTTTTTTATCATGAGTTTTCATAGATAGGTACATCTTTTAAGTCTAGTAGTAAAATGATCCAGCTATATTTTCATTCAAATTATTCCAGGAATTCTCATGGAATTGCCAATTTTTTGTGGCCAATATGAGCTGTCCTGCATTGCACAATAGGGCTAAGACTGAAAATGCTGTATACAGACTGGCATAAAAGGAAGGACCCTTTTTTTTTAATTGCTCAGATAGTGGTAGCCTGTTGAATCCAGCTCAGGTAATACTACTCATCCAACTCACCAGAATTACTGCTGTGAAGTTTGAACAATTCTGCAATATTTTAAGGCAGACACAGCATCTGCATCATCTGGAAGTAATGAAGCTTTCATTCTCTATGCCAGCTATTCAAGTCTTATATCTGATACTCAAAAAGTTTTCACATATGGTCCATTCCAACCTGCTCTTTTTCTGCTTCCCCTGGATTTCTATTTTTTTTAGGCATTTCCCATACGCCTACTTTAAGATCTTTAAATAGGTGGAATAGTCTGGTGAAATTAATGAATACTTTTATTCTGCCTCCAAACTCCCAGTGATGCCAAATGTACATTAGACCTGGTGCACCCATACTTTAAAAAGAATTGTAAATTTAAGAAGCAAAATATGGACTTGTTTTATATAACAGCGAGTCACTTCTGCATTTTCATCATACACTACAGACAATACAAGAGAAATGAAGTGTCAATGATTTAATTGGCAGTAATAGTCAAAGGCTGTGTAGAGACAGCAATATCTCTTTTAACTATAAAAACATGTTTGTTTATGGGATACGTGCCCTACCATCAGCTAATAGAGACAACTTTAAAATTCTACATGGCTTAAATAAACAGCACATACAATTATGGAAGTGGTTTCTAAATATCATTCAGAACATTATCCTTGACATAAGAGTAACTGAGAAATAGCTACTGAAGAAAGGTGGTATCATTCATTTTGACTGAAAGTATCAAAAGAAAGAAATACATTCCTGTTCCACAAAATGAAAAAATAAAAAAATAAGAAGAAATTAAGCAGTATCTGTGATGATTGTTAATCTAAATTATCAATTTAGATCATTATTCAGATTATTTAGACAACCTTTTCTAGATCAGCTAGAGAAAAAAAGAAAAAGAAGAAAAAAGAAACAGAAAAGTATGGCAGCGTTATCTGGCACCAAAATTGGATTTCTGTAAGAAAAACCCCACGTAGCATATGTGGCTTTTATCATTGTAATGTGTGTACTGAACTAGTCAACCATCTTCAGATTTCAACTTGCAATGCACTTAATTTCAGGGGGAACTAGAGGGAAAATCAGCTCCTGCCTGAATCAAGTGTCCAAAATTGTATTGCTCTATTCTGAGGTACATTGAATTCCAGGCCATTTTTGAAAATTTGGGTTCAGTGTATAGCAGACTATATTCATTTGAAGAGTCCACTCTTATTTGTAAATCAGTACTTCTGCTTGAAAATTCTATGGACACCTGCAGAAGGAAAGAAGAGCACGTTCATCAGAATTAAATGTACTGAAGACAAATTAAATTATTACTCAGATTCATGCAGTTTTAGTGTTTTCTGTCCTAAAAATCAAGCTGATAAATATATCCTGCAGTATAACATCTGTGTACCATCTCACAGTGAAAATTATGGGCATTCATCTACTCTGTGGAATATAAATTTAAAAAAAAAAAGACAGTGAAGTACTGAAAGATTGTTTTTATGTCACATGAATAAAAGGGAGAATTAACAAGGAAGTCAGGAATAAAAAACACTGAAATGTGAGAAGAAAAAAACCCAGAGTAATTTCAATAAATTCAAGTGATCAGCAAATCTCATATGTAGTTTTTTAAAAGCTCGTGGATAGATACTTCAGTGCGTTATTAAAAGGCTAAAAACCTTTTCCTGACAAAGGATTATTCGGAGAGTAGCCATCTAATAGCAAACAGACATGGATAAATAAGCTCTACTCTTTAAATCCGAAGACTCACTAAGCATGTGGAGACACCATAGGAAGCCCCTGAGAACACTCTATGTGTTTTGGATCGCATAACAACTGAATGATTTTTAACTGTGGTTATACTGGAATATGTGTCTTTCTAAAGGTTGTATGAGAATACGTCAGATAAAAGTTAAACAGTTACTGAACTGATCAAAAAAAGAACCTTATTAATTAGCCTTTGGTACTGTATATATTTTATATAGCCTCATCTCATTCTAAACAAACACTACACTTTCCTCACAAAGGGCACGGTGGGGTGTCATGTTAGAACAGGTTGTTTTATTTATATCTACATTAAACAATGCTAGGCCAGATAAAAATGCTTTGCACTTGGAAGAAAATAAGAAAATACCGAAGGTGTTTTAAAACTTGTAGAAGGCAATTACTGTTCTTCCGCATACAAAAGTTTTACTTTTAAAAATTAAGAATAGTTTCACAGAGCTGGAATAAGGGCATAATATACTATACCATGCAAGTGACAGACTGACATTCACACCCACCAAAATAGTAAACCAGAAGTTAGGGAACAGGCCCAGAATTTGAAGCCTGTTAATACAGAGAGTGCGTTAACTAATACATTAACTATTCCATCTTGGGTTGGGGAACTTGTCCGCAGGACAATGTATCTAAGCCTATGTATTGACAGAAAATACTCTGGTTTCAAAAGAGGAAAAAAAATATACATGACTTTTTGCTGGCTTTATAGATAATGAATTAAGAGCATGTTATCAACTACTAGGATAAGACCTAGCTAACTTGGGATAATATTAAAAATCAGAAATAGTGCTTTCTGTGGAGCATCCATAAGGAATTGAAAACAACACAGACACTACAAGATGAATTAGCCAAATGTAAATTTGCATGAACTGGACAAAAACCCTTCAGACTTCTCTTTAAAGCTTCTTTATCCCTTCTTGGTTGGCTTTAGCACAGTCTTCTTCTATGAAACGTCCTTATCCAACATTCAAAATCATCTTGTTAGCAGCATGGTCTTAAGGGATGAACATTAATTATAACATTTACATTTCACGCTAAACATAGAAACACTCATTCACATAAAATCCTTCACATGCACCCCTGTATATACACGCACAGAGATTTTGCATGACAGATGCAAAAAAAAGACATAACAATGTGTTAAGAGAATAATAAAGTTACCTAAATACAAATTATGCCCCTGCCAGCATTCCTTAAAGTCTATCCATTGCATTGAGTAGGCTATGGAACATGCAGTGCTTACTGAGCAGCTCTTCCTGAAAAGGCTTACCTGGAAATGTAAATGTAATTTTTGCTTTTTTCTACTTCATCACCTGCTCTGTGGCTCTGGCCTTCTGTTGTGTTTCTGTTTAGAGAGTAAAACCACTTCTGCTTTGGTGTTTCTCCCCATTTAATGCAGTTGCATAGCAGGGTATGGGTGTTGCGTAATTGAAAAGCCTTGGCCACTTAAAATGTGGCTGTCAGCAGCAGTTTCTAAGAAACTACAATTTAACTGCTTTCAAATACAGTTTTACTAAAGTGCAATTACCCACACCTGCTATTCTTATTTATATGAGCTAATGAGTAATTCCTTCTTCACCATACTGAACACGTCCTCTCTTACCTCCCATTGCACTAAGCTCCTTTCCGGCAACTTGTGAGATCACTTCTGATCTCACTCAAACAAACATTTTAAACCACTCCAATATCCTGAATATTCCCCAGGCAGGGAAATGTGTCACAAAACATCTCCATATGGCTCAGCACAATACAGTGGATAAATGCCCAGCTGGTCACTGTCACTTACAAACCCAGTGTCATGAGACAGAACCTCCAAAGAAAATTTACACCAAGAGAGACTGCAAAGCTGAATAGGAGGTTGATGGACATTTTTTAATTGGAAAAAAAAAATGTTTATGTAGTAATAAATTATTTAACAAAAAGTAAGTAGATCATTTAGTAACTCAGCTTCTAGTAAGCCAGCCTCCAATGTTTAGTTAGATAACAAACAAAATGCCAGTAATAAGGAATATACGTGCAAGAGGAGTGGGTGTCTCTTGACTGGAAAACTTTTGTCTTTACCTTTTTTTATCATGTAAACATCTATTGGTGCCTCTTGAATAACAAGGGCATCTTTTATAGTATCTTGGCTGTATTCCACATCAGCGCAGACCATTCTGTTTCCTAAGTAATTTCAACCATGTGAATTAGATGCCTTATTCTTTCTTTGCTTCCTGGAGGTGAATGCAGACATCTTGTAGCTAGTCAAGTAGGGACTTGATGAGAGAAAGCTTTAGCCAGATGATGGGGGTAAATAATTAAAACACAAAGAATTTGTAAAGCATGATGCCTACCCTCTTCTATGCCATGGGAGGTGAACTAGTATGCAGCAACAAAGGAGAGGAAGGGGATATAACCTTAATAAGAAAAGCAGGGCACCTCTCCACAGGTGGGAAAGGCCAGGCTCACTTACTTGTTCCTTTCACTCTGCTTCTGCTCAGAGCTAACTAAACACAGACCAACAAACAGGCTCTGCAGAGAGCCAGATGTACTAGCTCTAGTCCAGGTGTGTGTTAAATAGCTGGAAGTCTTCTGGAGAGACCCTTGCTTGTACCTGAAGATTCAGAAATAGTGGAAATGGTACTTACATATGGCCTCCGTCATTCACATGGGTTCATACAAAATAGAGAATGTGAAAACACAGAGAGAAGGGAAAGGGAGAAAAACTACCTCTTACCTAATAAATACCTACACACTAAGACAGACCTGACACATTCACAAGCTCTGTGAAATGAAGTTATATATTCCAATGCAAATCTTGATGTAAACCAATTTTGTTAGTCATTGAACCACTAGTCATTTAAGTTTTTTAACAGTTGGTGTGCAATCACGGTATAAGTACTTGTCTCACTGCTGAACTTGGATGTTTGTCCTGCATGTGCATAAGTTCCTGGCACCACAATGTTCAATACTTCAGCCTATCTGTATGATGATGAGATGATGCATGCTGCATGAGAATGCAGAAGTAAACAACATGATTTGTAGCTGCATGTGATTGCTAATGACAAAGAAAAATGTGGGAATAGTATAATAAACAGATGAGGTTATTTGTAAATCTCTCATTTTTCCGGTTTTCATTTCCCAAATACATAATAAAATATGGCTATGTTTTCTTGCATGAACATGACAGTAAGCTTTAAAAAAGTAAATTCTATATCAAAAGGTATAATTGTGCAGCTATTTGTAAAAACAAAGTTTCATTTTCTTGTCTAAAAGAAAATCTCTGGAGTCTACAGTTTCTTGCAAATAATTTTACCTTCATTGCCAAATATTTTGATATTTCTAGATGACTTAATAATACATTGTAAGGATATATTTCAGCAGAATTTCAACATGGCTACTACATAACTGCAGCAAACTAACCTTGGGATTTGACAAGTCCATTCTTTTTTCTTTTACATAACATCACAAAGCTCTGTTTTAGAGTGGCATGGAGATAACAAGCCTGAATTACAATTTCTGAAGATATCATTTGAATGACCACCTTTAGGCATGACGTCTCCCACAGCGTGCCCCAAATTGCCCAGGAGACTTGTTGAGACATTACAGTGCCAGAGGAGGTGTGTGTCAGGGGACCACCAAGTGTTTCCAGCCTCCTCCCGTGTCCAGACACACATTATCATTCATGTTCTGAATACAACATGAAAGCATTATATTGAATGACATTTTTCTAACAAATGTGTCAATAGAGATATGATGTTAATTAAGCTTTAGGGTGTGCTTTTAAAAGTATTTTGAACGAAACAGAGGGTGGCAGAAGTCCACAGAGGTTCCAGGTGCATTTCTCTATATCCAGACATATCCAGCTTTTTAAAAATTGTTTTACCTGTGTGGAATTTCTTCTGCTTTACTTTTGGATGGATTAGAAATTCATTTGTCATTATACCCTCTTTGCCACCTGAAGCAGAGATCATAAACCACACAACCAATAAATCTACGGATTCAAACTGTAGCCCTTGGCTGCCACCTAAAGGTTTCATATACTTCTTTAGAGGGGTACCATCAGCCTGTGTTCCAGTGTTTGGAATGGAAAAATGCTTGCCTAGTATTGTTACAGACAGCTTCTACATTCCCTATTGCTGAGAGAGATTAAAGGGAGGGGACAAAATTGGTCTGGATTTAAGAAAAAGGAAAAAAAAGGAAAAACCGAAACATATTAAGCTAAGTGTGCTCCAGAAAGAACAATTCCTTCTTTCTGCCTACCCTTTAGATTTGAAAGCCAATAAAAAAACTAGGGGAAAAAATAGTATATGTTACTTGCAGAAGGGGCCAGTATGCCCAGCCAGTGTTTGAGTAATTCAACAGGAGCTGCAAGCAGGTTGCGTGGAGAGATTGCTCTCTCTAAGCACTCTTCACAACTCAAGCTACTTGAGAATATCTGGAGCTCAGATGGCAAAGAAAATTCTGGCCACTGACTCCTCTCTATCTCGCTATAACTTTCATTTATTT